GGCTTCGGTCCATTCAGACCAGAACCTCCCGCCATAAGAACAGTTTCTTCCCCTCTGCTGTTGGACTCCTGAACACTCATAATGCTACCTCATAATTTCTGCTTTGGTCACATTACATCTGTGTTATAATTGAATAGTCCATCTGTACTGTTTTCTAAGCTTTTTTATTGTTTTCTATTGCATGGGTGTACACATGTTTATGTTGTGTTTTTAATTTTACTTTATTTGTGGGTGTACACAGGTCTTATGTCTTATGTAATGTTCTCATTTTTACTTCATCTTTACTTTATTTTTACTTTATTTTACTTTATTACTATTCGCACCTTATGTCGAAGCAAATTCCTAGTTTGTGAACCTCGTTCATTGACATGGCGATAATAAACTGATTCTGACTCTGATTCTGATTCTGATTCACCTACCCCACCCACATTTTTGATGTTGTCAGTACCGGGGCTTGAACCGGCGGTCTTCCAATCACAGGCCCACCTTCTCTAACCTCTGCGCCACCACTCCCCTAATTTACTCTACTGTTGTAGCTGGACAAACTGAAAACTGTTATTTTCTTTTAATTATTCATTCATTTAGGATTTTTGCCATTGTCACTGAAAATGTTTTTGTCCTTCAGCCCAGGAGGTGGCGATAGAAAGCTACCGCTAACAAACACCACCGAAGAAGAAGAAGAAGAAGAAGAAGAAGAAGGAAAACCCCACAGAAGAAGAACGGCCGGAGGACTGAGAAGAAGACGAAGCAGTAATAGGTGATTGTTTATTTTTTATTATTTAATACAGACTCGTTAGCTAGAAGCTGTTTATAAATTTTGTAGGTTAGATTTTAAAACTAGTATAAATTTGTTAAATGATGATAAAACGACTGAGGGACGTCAGAATCAGTCGGTTTAATTAGTAAGTGATGATACAGACACGGACAAAATAGTTGTTGTACCCTTTCGCTAAAGAAAACCTTACAAAAGTTACTGATGAAAAATAATAAAAGAAAAAATACTTAAAATCAGCGAATGAAAATCATTATTATCATTATTTCGTTTCAGTTCTGATTCACCAGAACTAAAAACAAAACAAAAGAAAGGATTGAACTAGTCTCGACATAAAGGATGGTTACATTAACTAAATATTTTGTTACACAAACTTCTGCCTTCCAGTGTTTTTGTAACTCCTGATCAAACTGCTCCAACTGTCTCAGGTTTGAAGGTTACTTTCTCCAGATGTTTCAGCTCCTTCCACAGATGTTCAACAGGATTCAGATCAGGGCTACTTCAGAACAGTCCAATGTTTGGTTCTGATCCATTCTTGGGTGATTTGTGTGTTTTGGACCATTGTCCTTTTGGAAGACGATGACCTGCTGCTGAGACGAGCTTTCTGACACTGGATGGACGGCTCATCCTGCTCCATAAAGCCTTGATGGTCTTGAGATTTCATTGCACAGATTCCAGACACCCGATGTCAGATGCAGCAAAGCGGACCCAGAACAGAACCGAGCCTCTAAATCTAAGATGTTCTGGACACTTTGGTAAATGGTAAATGGACTGTACTTATATAGCGCCTTTCTATCTTATCGAGATACTCAAAGCGCTTTACAACAATCTGTGTCCTCATTTACCCATTCATACAGCTCTATACTAGATCTCTACAAAGCTAATTGAACAAATCATTCTAAAGAGACTAATCAGAGCTTTATCACATTCATACACTGATGGGACACACATCAGAGGCAACGAGGGGTTCATTGTCTTGCCCAAGGACACTTTGGCATGTGACTGCTGGTGGATTCGAACCCCCAACTCTCGCATTAGAGGACGACTGCTCTAACCACTCAGCCACAGCCGCCCAATTTTGTCATAGTTTATATTATCTGTCTCTTCAGTTTGTCATCTGGTTTCCTTTAAATCATGTGGACTTTAAACTCCTTCTGATTGGTCTGTTCAGCTGTTGTCAGAGGAACATGAAGCTGAAGGAGATGGTTTTAAAGTGTTTACCTTTAATTCATCTAAAAAAGTTCAGTCTGGTCCTCTGGACATTCAAAAAACAAAAAACAAAGCAAAAAAAATCTAGATACGTTTCGCCTCTCATCCGAAAGACTTCCTCAGTCTGAGGTGCTGTATTCAGCTCAGTCTTATAAATAGCACCTTCTCAGAGTGGATCAACCAGTTTTGCTGCTGACAACCAAAACCAGCTGCTCACATGGTCAAAAAGGACCATCAGCCTAACAATGGATCATTAGCACACTGATGGCTGTTTACTATTCACAGGGGGTTGAGTGATACTAGCAATCACAGCATTGTAAGAGGGGGACAGTTGAACCCGGAGGCCTCCACCCCTGTTTAATGATGGACGATTTCACAAAGATGGCCTCCTTTACTCCTCTCTCAAACCATCGTTCCTCTCTGTCCTTTAATTCAGTTAATTTCTGTAGCTCCAAATCACAATAGGAGTCGTCGCAGGGCACTGAACAAAAACATTCACATACACAGTAACACATGATATAATAAGAGTCAGAGTTTCTTTATTGTCATTCGCACCTCATGTGGTACATGTGGTGGAGCGAAATTATGTTCACAGCGTCCCAGTTACATCCAACAATAAAATGTAAAAGAAAAACAGTAATAACATCTAAGATATGAACCAAGAAAAACATCAACTAAATATACACTAAGCACTAATAGCATAAAAACATTACATAGAACAACTGCATGAGCATGAGTCTGTGTGAGCAGATGAGCATGCATGAACACATCAACATGAAACAGATCAGCAGCAACATGATGTAATTTTTTTCACAGTGATTATTCTGGTTAGAGATTTATGAGTCTAACAGCCTCAGGGTAGAAGCTGTTCCTCAGTCTAGTGGTTCTACACTTAATGCTCCTCAACCTCCTTCCTTAGGGGAGCAGAGCAAAAAGTGTGTGTGCTGGGTGAGTGGGGTCCTTCATGATGCAGGTGACCCTCTTCCTGCATCTGGAGGTGTACAGGTCCTTCTCAAAAAATTAGCATATTGTGATAAAGGTCATTATTTTCCATAATGTAATGATAAAAATGAAACTTTCATATATTTCAGATTCATTGCACACCAACTGAAATATTTCAGGTCTTTAATTGTTTTAATACTGATGATTATGGCATACAGCTCATGAAAACCCAAAATGCCTGTCCCAAAAAATTAGCATATTTCATCCCACCAATGAAAGACAAGTATTTTTAATACAAAAAACACCAACCTTCAAATAATCATGTTCAGTTATGCACTCAATACTTGGTCGGGAATCCTTTTGCATGAATGACTGCTTCAATGCGGCGTGGCATGGAGGCAATCAGCCTGTGGCACTGCTGAGGTGTTATGGAGGCCCAGGATGCTTCGATAGCGGCCTTAAGCTCATCCAGAGTGTTGGGTCTTGCGTCTCTCAACTTTCTCTTCACAATATCCCACAGGTTCTCTATGGGGTTCAGGTCAGGAGAGTTGGCAGGCCAATTGAGCACAGTAATACCATGGTCAGTAAACCATTTACCAGTGGTTTTGGCACTGTGAGCAGGTGCCAGGTCGTGCTGAAAAATGA